AGCAGCAGTCCTATCCCATGCCACCTCTGAGAGCACGACTGTGGCACAGGGCCGCAGTCATCCAGCCCAGATGCTGGCAGCCTCCCATCTGCTGCCATGCCCTTCATTTTCCATAGGTACAGCAGCAGTGTGCTTGTTGTTTCTGGGTCTCACCTTCCTCTTTAGGGGCAGGGTTGGGAATGGCTGCTGGCAGCATGGGCAGCAGCAGCGATGAGTAGGGCAGGAAGCCCCTGCTTGCTGTGGGAGGCTGCAGGGTAGGAGGTGCACAGGGCTTGGGCACCCACCGCCATGGCTCACGGCTGCACCAGCAGCCTGCATGGAGCAGCCCAGCTCTGAGAGGTTTCTGCTTCACTGGTATTTGCAATGCTATTAAAGATTTAGCAGCACCAAAATGTAAGAAAGCTTTTTCTTGCAGCTGCAGTCTAGCACGGCCTGTGCTCCAAAATGGAAAGGGCAGTTTGGGACTCACCTGAAATGCTCTCCTGCGCATGCAGCAAGGCAGGGCCCCGCTCTGCGCTTCTGCTCCATCAAGTCTGGGGTATAGAGCTGCTGAGGTTTGTGCAGCCATGCTGGTTTGTCACACATATCCTAGCTGTAGAGATGACCATGAGAACAGCTCCTTGCCCTAAGGAACCTCATGGAGGCTGGCATGGGAGGCCTCTGTCCAGCACACCCAGCAGACACACTGCAAAGGAGCGCAATGGCTCAGCCACAACCCTCTTGCTCATTGCCAGACTTAGCAAGACTCCCCTTGAAGCTCACACACAGGAACGGGCTGCTAACAAGTCTGTCTGCGTGCTCTTTCCACCTGCAGTGCCTTTAGGGGTGGTCAAAGTAAACCCAGCTGAGCCACAACACAGCTACAACACAGCTGTAAGACCCACACCAGCCTCACTAGGCAATGATTCATAGGGCTGTCAAACCGACACCATGCCAGGGCCTCCCACATGCCCCACAGCAAATTAACCACTGGAGAGCAGCAGGCAGACAGCCGCCATGAGGACAAGGCGTTGGGCCCTTCTGGGAGGGCAGAGCACATCACACCACACAGCAGCGCTTTGCTCAGTACAGACTTTATTACAGTTTACATGGCCAGCTTCGCATAAAAAAAATGAATGTCATTAATTCTTACAGAATTAAAGAAGACCTATGTGAAGATAAATGATTACAAAACACAGGCCCTGTGCAGTACAGCAAACAGTTACTGTTTCTTTGTGTAACAGCAACACTTGATCACACAGCTAAGGCAAGACACGTTTTCAGAATAACTTTTGATTATGAAGAACAGCAGTACAACGCATCTGCAACTGCAGTTTTTAACCAAATGTTTTCAAATTATTACAGTATAAGAAAAAAAAAACAAATGAAAGAACTTAAGGAAGACAGCTTCGCCTAGGCAGTTGCAGCAGCAGCTATCGAGCAGCCCCGCATGCTCTGCAGTGAATGATCTCCTCATTAGAGCCCTCGCTCGCAGGCACGCCGGCCAGCACTGAAGCACTTTAAACAGCAGGCTGTCTGCACATGGGGCTGTGCACACCGATAGTGTGAGCTGTCACCTCGCCTCCCAGCTCGGGATGCAGACGCCCCACTCTGCCTGAGCTGCTCGGCCTGCCTGCTCGCTGCTGGGAGCTGCCCAGCAATCCTGCTGGGACCTCGGCAGCACGGACACTAGGGCTGAGACAACCGCGGGCAGTTCAGCTTTGCTTTAAATCAAAATGCCCATTCATGAGAAAAAGCAAGGAAGGAAGACTTTGGGGTAGACAGTGGGACAGCAGTGAGGGGCTGGACTCCCTGGAGCTGCAGTGAGCCCTGCTGGCGCAGCCCTGTGGGCACTGCTGACAGCCCGCATGCTTCCACTCTTGTCTGTCAGTCTGTCAGATGTCAGTCCTCCTGCCCACCTCTCCCCAGTGCTATGTTTGCAGACATCAGAACTGCTGGGCTCCTCAGCCCATGCTGCTCCTTATGCTGCAGGAGAAAAGCAAATATTTTTCTTCTCCAACCAGAGCTGCACAATGTGAGAGGTTAAGCTGAAAACAGGACTGCTTTCTATTAGCTCCTCTATGTCTACCGTATGTTTACCACAGCGTTTGCAAGAACATCCTCTATCCTCTGTGCGCTCAGCCACCTACTGAATTTTGCAAATGCAGGACAACTTCCCCCCACACACAGCTAACACACTCCCAAATACCGGCACAGCTACAGCAGCAAACACAGCCTGACTAAACAGGGGAGCAGGGAGTCTGCAGCAATACAGGCTCATCCAGGCCCTATGTAATTTACTTTGAAGTGAAGAGCCGTGCTTGCCCAGAAGGACCTGACTCCCAGGCAGGTACATATGTACCTCCTCCAGGAACTAAGTACAGCACTGTCACTTCATCTGCCTGCACTTGCTGCACACTTGTGAAGAAGTGTATTAAGCCATGGCATTTGTTCCTGAAAGAAAAATCTTCAAAGAAAATGTGTATCTCCCAACAGTCTCACCTGCAGTGCTCTGTTCTACCCCAGAGAACTACAGAACACCTGCTGCAACTCTGCCTGACTTCTTGAAACCTTTTGTAGGGATTACAGCAGTGAAGGGAAAAGGAGGGAAAGGAACCAAGTCATTGCTTTCTCCAGAGACTACACACTACACAAACCCATGCACATAACAGTTCTAAACCTTGCCTCAATTCTCACACTAACAACTAGCACTGACAGAGGAACGGATAATTTTCTGTTCTTTGCTGTCAGGTCATCACCAGTGCTGGGATGAATCTGAGCTTATTCTTCCTCCCAGCCCTAGCCCTGCGGATTGCTTGTCCTGGCATTTTTTTCCTAAGAGACATTCTCATCTTAAGCAACCTAAGAAAAGGAAGAAATACAGCCACAGCCTTCAGTAAACTTTCCAATTCTCATTGTTTTCAAGGCTCAAGGAAGCCTCTTGGCATAAGGAAGTGTGAGGGCCACATGCAACCTCACAGCCACTGCTGCTGCAGTTCAGACAAGGCACTGACAGCTTCTGCAGGCTACAGCAACAGTTCACAGCAATTTGCAACCTGTTATTTAAGGGTGAGGTGCTGGATAACCCCAGCAGAAGGAACCTGCCTAGCAGCATCATGACCTCTGGCTTTGCTTTGAAATGAAATGTGACTGTTGAGAATATTGTGAATAATATTTCCATGTAAAATGGAATACTGTTCCTGTGATGATGTTTCAGAGTTGGCTTTAAGGCAAAGATTTAAAAGCCCTTTGGATTTCAAATCTATTTTTTCTAGCCCCCTAAAAAGGTGCTGCTTAAGGGATTTAAGCAACAGAGGGGAGCGTAACAGTTAATTCCAAATGCTATAAATTACAGATGGTTTGTTGGAGGAAAAAACAAACAGCAAATACAACAGGACATAACTAAAGCCCATCCCAAGATGGAAGGCAGCACAGCAGCAGCTCATGGTGCAACTCAGGCAGCAAAGCTGTTTGGCAGTGCTACAGGAAATGCTCTCATCCCCGTTAGAGTTCTCTCCTTAGTAAGACTCCCAAGGAGATTGGATCAAGGAGACATGAGAGATGGTGGGATGGAGACAGGGGAAAAGTCGTCTAAAACTGCCCTGCTGGGTGTTACTTTGCCGGTCTTTTGTATGTTTTCATCAATCAAGCTGTCAAGTGTGTATCAAACCCTGTGGCCCACTGCAGACCTTGGAGTATGTCCACCTACACAAAACACTGCCCAGTAGGTTCTCAAGATCTCACCTCCTGCGCACTGTGCAGGAGGCAGAAACATTGTCAGAAGAGTAGAATCAGGAGCTGTTGAGCCCTTTCATCTCTCAGATGCTTCCTGAAAATACGCTTTGGGTCTTTTATTTGGAAACTTGGCCCTGTACACAATTCTTCTTTTAGACTACACCCTTGCTACTGCGTCTGGTGAGTTGTCCTGGAAAGAAATACAGCTACTGTGGGATGATTTGCTTGCGAGAAAATGTAGACATTTTTATAGCATGAATGAAGCTTATAGCTTCAAGGCAATCTTCAATTTGAATGTTTTGAGAAAACCACTTAGTCTTCCATGGGATGGCTGCCTGAATAAGTAGCAGCTACAGCACAAGGCACCATGCACTGAAGGATCCCAAGAGAAATTCTAACAGCTTTCAATCTGATTTGGAATTTTCATTCCAGTGAAAGAAGAGACAAAGCATCTTTCTCACTACATCAAACACAGTCCCATCCCCTCACCAAATTCTTTACACTCTTGAGCAAGCAACTGAAGAACTACCCCCTGACAATGCCACTTCCCACTGCCATTTGTACTGAGCCAGGCAGGACCATGGTTAGAGTCATAGATACTGCATGCTTAACTTGCAGCCCTGTCTCCCTGAACCACCCTCGAGAACTCTGATCTTATTCTGTTTGTTGAAGATGCTATTTGCAAGTTTTCCAGGTTCCAACTTACAGACGAAAAACATAAAATCAAAATGGCATCATGAGCAACCTCAGGCTCTCCAAATAGGTAGACATATTTTTGGCCATTAAAAAAAAAAAGTCAAATTTGACATCCTTGCAAAACACTGTAGATTTCTTGGATGTACAGTCCCCAGAACACCCCACTTGGAAAAGACAAAGCCAAATCTGAGAAGTCTTCTTAGTAATTTCAAGTGCTTCAGATCTGACCTTGCAGTCCCCCAGAACACTCCTGGGCTGGGTGCTGGCCTGCATGAGCTCCTGCGCAATCAAACCGTGGTGTACAGTTGAACCCAAGCTGAACAATGCAGGTGGAAGGATGCACAAAGAGGAGGACTACAACACATGGCAAGGACACGTGTATGACTAGGCATACAGAGGTAACTGGCACTGAAAAGCTTTGCAGGAGCCAGTGCCCACCTGAGCTCAGGTAGTAAATATAAAGGATTCAGACAAAACAGACAGTCCTGAGATAGAGATCAATTTCTTAGTAAGGCTTTGAGTGTGTGTGGTTTTGGTTTTTTCTTTTAAGTGCTTTTCTTAAATTAATTACCATAAAAGACAGGCTAGCATTCGTTAAACAGTTGTGTTCCTTCATTCCAGTATAAAATACACATATGCAAACCCGTGATCAGATAGGATATCGTTTCAGAGTTTGTGTTAAAAATACTTTTATCCAAATGATAAATATTTTAAAATAAGCATTTACAAAAATAAATGGTCCATTCCCACAAGGAAGGACATATATAGCTGCAAATCTAAATACATCTTGAGGCAACACAATTATTGATGAAACTAGTTAATAAAATCTTTGGTATGAGAGTATAGTACATTAATATTCATGCACCGTTGTCTTCCCTTGGCAGACACACTGTACAGATGTCTAAGCGAAGAGGCAGCTTTTCCTCAGTTTCTTGAGATGTCTTCCAAATACAGCATACAAATTTTTCTAACATGTCTTCCTATGATAATAGGAGAAAAACCCAAGATTCTCCTGGATCTTCCTATTACTTTTGCATCTAAAACAGAAATGAAGATGGGAGGAAAAAGAACATAACACAGTTAAATTTCATTCTAGCTAGCGAGCAGCATCTACAAAAAATAAAAATCAATACAAAAATTACTCTAGAGGAAAGCCTGTTTCCTTCAATATTGCATGCATTGGCTGCCAAGGCAGGATAACGATGAATACCAGCACTGCTGCAATTGTAGACACACACAGGAGCCGACTGAGCTAGGGATGGCAGCAGTTCTGCACCCAAGCATTGCCCTGAGCAGTGTGAGGACCTGGCTCTGGTGGCCATTACTGTGGGGGAACAGAGACACTGCATAGGTACAGGAAAGAGAAACAAAAGCTGAAAAGACTCGGAACAAAAGACCTGGGGAGCTCTGGGGACTGGGGAGCTCTGGGTAATTAACTGGGATCAAGGGAAGTTACAGGAAGTTGTCTGGGGTTCTTTATGAAAATGCTGGTACTAAAACAGGTGAAGGAAGACAAAGGCAGCTAAGAAAGCAGTAGGGTTAGCCTATGCTATGGCCTAATGGTTCCCTTTTAGTCTTAAATCCTGACTCGAGAGAAAGTCCTGCAGAGGGACTCAGATCTGGGAACGAAAGGGAACACAGCCCAAACATCCATGAGCTGGGCTACAGATCAGGGTCAGCAGCCCACAGCTCCTGGAAAAATGTCAGCAGCAACACCCAACCGTGACTGCTGTGAGCAGGAAATGAGGAGCAGACGGCACCGATCCAACATAAGTTTGAGTTCTGCTCCCCACCTACCACACGAAGTCTGACACCTCCCACACTGCAGAGGCACAAGAGGATCCCCCTGCACCAGCTGTCTGTTCCCACTGGTGCTGGCTCACCAGAGTCAACCCAGGAACAAGTACCAACACCTCTCTGCTAAGAGTCACCCTCTGGAAGAGCAGCAGGCAGGACTAGGAAATGGAGCAGGTATCTACAGCGTGATGCAGAAGCTCCCAGTCACCAGGCATGGCAAACACCCAGCACTGCAGGGTGAACACTGCAGCTGCTAAGGCTCAGTGACTGCACCAAGTCCCACCGCTGCAGATGGTCGTGGCTCCCCAGAGGTGTGGGACCAGCAGGTTTGGGCTTCCCTTCTGCCTCCGCCTCGTAGCTGCTGGGAGCCATGACCCACTGCCATAGCAACAGGAGCTCACATGATGACTGACTTTTAAAAGAGCCCCTGTTTGTGGCATCCTCTGTCGACAAACAATCCATTATTTATATCTCGGCATGTCTGAAGTGCAGTTTGCATCCTAACCTCATTAATGAATGATGACACCTTGACCCGCTCTATTAAGTAAGCTGTGTTAGACTGAGAAGCACACTGCTCTCCCCGTCACAAGCTGAAGTAAGGCAATCAACAGGAAAAATACCAGGGTAGATTACCTGAGTTACAGCAATACCAAAATAAGGCAAATCCTGCTGCTGCACTGAAACAGGCGAGGAAAAACACTGGGCCTAGAGAAAATGGAAAAGGGGACTCATTAAGACAGAGCAGAGAAGTGAAAGTTTATCTCAGTTCATAAATCATCAATTGCTGTTCATATGCATAACTAAGCGTACTCAAATGAGGTTAACACATTCACAGTTATGTATGTGCTGTAGCTAACATACTATGAAGAACATTTATTGTACTGCAATTAGTTTTTATTACAGTTACTTTGACACCATTCATTGTTCATCTCTGTTCACCTGTGTTCTAGTCAATGGAAGCAAGAGTCTTCTGAGGCATTTTCTTAGCCTAAAACTTGGTGTAAAGAAACCCTTTAAATACTACAACCAAATAGTAACGAGATCACTGGCACATAACCCACACAGTGCAGTGTCTTACTCCAAAACTTGCCTCTGTTGGGTCAGTGTACTGCCCACGGGGAAGAAGTATTGTGAAAATACACCACAAGATAACTACAATTCCATACAAGCAAGTTGTTAGGGTTTTGTATGTTCCCTTTCTTTGCTTTTGCCTACCACTGAAGTTGCTGCTTTCTCTGAATCCTGTTGCTCCACTGGCTTCAATCACACCTCACCGTCCTTCTGTACAAAGCGTGTATGATCAGGCTTCATCAAAACAGCAAATGCCAGAGAAGCAGAACAGAGCTGATGCCAGAAGCCCAGGCACTGCCAAGCATCAGCTCCGTTGCCTTGTTTGTAATTAGCACACAGGACTCACTTGATTCCTGTGGCTATATGTCTCACTTATTCCAATAGCATTTGTGCATGCCTCCATATAAAATGGAACAGGAAAGGACTGTGTGTGATTATATATATGTATATATATGTATATATACACAGATGTTCCACAAATGATGCTTCCATGACAAAAGCAAATATTCTTGTTCCTGTTCACAATTCTGAAATGCAGCACCTCACACATACCTCAAACAAATCTCTCATTGGAAACACTGCTTTAATGTGCCTGCCTGGAATTACACACAGCTTAATGCTGATGCTCAATGGAACCTTTCTAATTCATGCTTATCCATTAACGAAGACCTCAAAGATTTATATCTGCCTCTTTATCATCTAATATTCCATTTGTATTTATGACTTTGCCATGACTACACCTACATTTAAACTGCACCTGTCAGTCCAGACTAATGAGTCAGTGGAGCCAACCACATTAGAGTATTCAAGAAATAAGCAACCAAACAAAACCACACAATGAGTTACAATGTGTTCATTTCAGCCTTCTTCCGAGGCAAAAAACTGTCACAGAAGCTTATATAAGACTCTTGATCTCTCATAATCAAATGGAAATTTTTAAATAAAACATCAACTAACATTTAAATGAGAAAAAGGTCACAATGAATTAAAAAAAAAAAAAATTACATCTTTCTTTCAGTTTCTTTCATTCTTCAATTCCTTTTCAAAACATCTTCTAGTGACTAAAATTACTGACCTCCCTCTAATCTGGGCATTGAGAAAGGAAGAGGAAGTAAGTTTAACATGTTATTCTACAGCAGATATACCTAAGTTTACTCTCGCTCATCTGTTGTTTTGTTGTTTTTTGTGTTTTGTTTTTTCCCCAAAGGATTTGTAATTAAATTGGAAGCTTAAAAGAAAATAAAAAAAAACTTGAAAGCTATTAAAAAAAAAAATCACAGCAGCAGGATAGCCTTTACTATTCAAGCATTGGAGAAATCATAGTAAATGAACAGCTTAGCTAAAACAGCACAAGTAAAAATACCACTGTAAATATTGATTAAACTCGTCTCTTGAATTTCCTGGCACTGGCTGCCTCAGCAGCAGCTCAGTAAGCTTCCTTCCATTCATTCTGCTTAGATGGTGACAGTAAAGACATCGTAAAACAAACTATGTTACATGAAATGCAAATTATATAATAAAATAAATTGCATCATAATCTGAAAAGCCATTCCGTAAAGTGACACTGTGTGCATTTATTTACCCCTGTCATTTAGCATACATTTCTCCTTGTCAGTGTCTATCTCTGCGGAATCTGTGGTTTCTAGAAATAAAAGCAACATATCAGAAGTTAGTATTCAGCTCAAGCAAACACAAACATAATAAGCACATGCAAAATACCACACGGCCAAAAAATACCTCTTTTTGACATGAAATATTGGCTCCTCCAGAAGTAAATCATTGCTACACTTACACCCGGGTGTATATTGATCAGAAGACAGCCACAGGTCATTCGAATGCACCATGAACAGCTGTAAGGAGCTGCAGCAGCACCTCCCATCTGCTTAAGCCCTGCCTACAGAAGGAACATTGCATACAGCAGCTCTTGGATTCACACACGAGGGACACCGACTGAAAATCCCTGGCACACTTGATTACTTCAGAGCAGTCAAACTGCTTCCCAAGTGAGGAAAGCATGAAGTACTCCTTCTGCAACGCCAGAAACTTGTAGCGTAACACATACAAAACATTTGTGGGCCAAAGCACACGCTAATCTGAGAACAACCTTCTGATTGAACGTACCACCACCCTTTCTGTTCTTGAGTAAGTCTCTGGGCATTGGCATATATGGCAGACGGAGCCCTTGGAACAAACTGCTTGGCACATATTGCTTACCCAAATTCTGCTCTCGGCTAAATACACATACAGTCTCTTTTGAAATCTGGAGGGACTACATACTAACATTTGGCATAAGTAGTTTTGGCCTCTAGATGACATTTTTCTGTGAACTCAAGTAGAAAAGGAGGTTGACCTTAAGCTTTCCAAGAGTTAGCAGCAACGAAGCCATTTAGTTGAAACACAAGAATTCAGAAGGCAGCAGTATTGCTAGGTCTCTTCTTTCACTTAGAGACCTGCCATGAAGGTGTACTCCAAGCTAATCCTCTGCACTTGTAGGACGAAGGAATAACAAAACAGCCTTTGGAAGCGCTTGAGACAGGACAGACATCTAGGCTCTCCTCAGGCATGCCAGGATGGGTGAGAGGACACTAAGGAAGCTGCTGTGGAGTAAAGTACCCAAATAGTATCTGTGCTTCACTGGATCAGGCCCAGCCTGATTCTCCTCCATTTCTGCATGTCTCCCATCCCGTGAGGGGGGACAGCATGGCTCTCCTGCAGAGCAGCAGCATTGCAACCACTTGGCTGCACACTTGGGAGCCACTGAAGGAGAAAGAATTGCTGCAGAGCCTCCCACAACGTACTCTGTCAATGGCAATCACACATGCAGACTGCGTGTTTTGAGGGCAGTCTTCTCCAGATAACCTAGCACACAATTCCTCACGCTTCCAGCTCTGCACTCCTGTCAAGCTACCATTGGGCAGAACTGAGCGGATCCTTTATCCTTCTAGTTCGTGTAAAAACATTCTCTGAGTCACATGGAAAACTCATTTGGCTTCAGTAGCTGCGACAGGGTCTGTGCCGTGTGCCTTCTCCACCCTCTAGTGGGAACTCGTAGACATTGCTGAACATCTCACTTCCAACATTGTATTCGAGGCAAAGAAACTTTGTTCTTGCACAAATTTTGAAGGTTTTGTTTGTTTTTTAAATAAGAACAAAATCTTTGAAAGATTCACCTGTGTGAAAAATACTTTTCAGATGCACAGCTGCACGTAATCTATGGCATGCAATCTATTTTGTCCAGGCCACAGATCACCAGTGCCCCAAAACATTTCCAACAAGCCTGCTTGCTTCAGTTGGACCTGTGTCCTTAGAACGAACTCCCCATGTTAGCAGTGACTGTTCCCTGGGGTCCCTTTGCAAAATGCAATAGCAGCCAGTGGTTTTGGGGGACCACAATCAGTCTATTTTTAAACTAATATACTGATCCCTATTGCTAAACCAGCCTGTATCAGTCACCAAGGTGCAAAGCTGAGCATGCTTCTGCTCTGGCTAACAGCACTGTGCAAATTTCCTTTCTGCTGCCTGTCCAGCTATGACAAGAGCAAATGCAGTGGGAAGAGTCTTTGTCTCAACATCACACAGCCTCCAGCAAGGGTTTTATGGGTACAGATGACCTTGGGCACAGCTATGCTATTACGAGCACCCAGCTAACTTCTCTATGGGATGTAGGCAGGACTTGGCTAAGATAACTTAAATCTCATTTTCAGAAATGGCTCAATAGTCAAAAGTATTGAATATTAACAGAACTTAAACCATCAAAATACTCTTAAAATTACGTTCTTAGTTGCTGTTAATTACTAAAGACTGTCATTCAGTCAGTTTGGCAGAAAAACCTGTGGCTCTACACCTCTCCCTCAGGTGAAAATGACAGATTCACAGCTATTTGATCGAGGAGCCTGTTCCCTTCCCCCTATGGGCATGACTTCTGCAAGGTGATCAGCAAATTACAAGCATGCTTTAAAGCTGCCATGAGGCTGAATCCATAAGGTCTCCCTGTTCAGTATGGTTTGGGTATGGAATTTGGAAAGCTGAGGCAACTTGGCAGCCTGTCTGTGCAGGTAGTGAAATGGTGTAGTCTCCCAGCTGTTTTCTCTTTGTGTTAGATAGACACAAACCTTTTCTTTCAACACAAAAGGCTAAACAAGGCTAGACAATGTTGTACATTAAAAAGTCATTACAATTTTTATTTTTATTTTTTGTAATTAATATGCCACAGTCTAGAAATAAAGGAGATACAATTTTTTTGTTTGCTTTTGTTGGTGGTAGTAGCTTTTGTTTTGCTTCTTTGTTTTTAAAACCTGTTGACTTTTGGTGCAACACTTTGCATCTAACTGGAGCTTGACCCACATTGCTAAAATTTCCCCTCAGCACATAATTGACTTTCTAATAACTAGAGATCAATTGTCCAGTGAAGCAATAGAGCTGTTAGACCGTTTATAAGGACTTTTTATACTACAATCCCTATGCAGCTTCATTAACTTAAACATAGACCTTTTCCTCAAGCTGCTCAGGTCATTTCCGTGTGCTGGAGGCCTGAACATACTTCCCATGCATTTGGAACACCGCTCTTTTCCTCCAGATCAGTAGATGATAAAGTAAAACCAACACATAAGAAAGTCAGGCTTGATACTTTTCTTTAGAGAAATGAGCTCCTTTGTGTATAGAGTCAAACTTGTATGTATGTATGTACCTCAAAAGCATTGAGGCCCAAACATGTACATATTTTTGGTGGGCAATTCTATGGACATCAGTCAGGCACGTGAACTGCACAAAATACGTCCTGCATTTAATGTCATGGAGATTGGTGTCTCTGTTCTGCATCACAAGGACCTATGAATGAAGCATGATTTAACAATGTGGTTGCTTCATCTTCAACTGGACACAACTGGACGATCTATGTATTGGGGAAAAGGCAAGATTCCCAACTGTTGGGTTTTTGTGATTAACAAATCTGAGGTTACTTTACTGTAATGTTCTGATTTGCTACCAATTAGAGTAAGCATAGTGAAAATAAAAAAGCCAGGAGGGGACAACCATTACGTAGAGGAACTGTCCTTCATATGAGTGATATTGCTATCTTACATGTAGAAATTGAGCTGTTTCAAGGGCACAGACTCGTATTTCAAGGCTATCAAAGAATTTCAGACGGCCTACACCAGCCAACAAAGAACAACTATGCAGTCAAATCCACATATGGGGGATAAATAAATAATCATTTAAATAATCTGAACAAAAGAAGTGAAATGAGGTTTCATAATTCACTGATGAGGAAATAGACAACTCAGTCAAGTTACAAATCAACTTACTCAAGATTTTCCTGCTTGGCAGGTCATTATAGAGCTGTTCAGCATTGATCTGTAAAGCCCTGTAAAATTCCTGACAGTGTCTCTCTCCTTTCTTAAGAAGGTGCTTTATCAGATCTGAGAGCCTGGTATGGAGTGATGCCTTTGGATTCCTGAACTGTAAGAGAAAAGCACTCATCAGAAAGGAGATTACAACAGCTAGAGAACAATTTCACATTATTTTATGGTATGACAGAGAATTGAGCCCATTTTATATTGCCAAAAACAATGTGCCAGAAAATTAAGGGAACCTATGTATACGTTGCATGGGACACTTCAATACGCTGAGCTCCATCTGGAAGCATCTCTTGATGGTGAGCACATTTTCTCTGCCTTTCCTCTTTTATTTTTCCCTAGTAAAGTGACAGCTACTCCACATTTGATGTTTCTCCCCATTCAATTCAATACTTGCCACTCTACAATTTGATTCTGACAGCAAACAGAAAACATGAACGTACACCCTATGGAATTCTAATGTTTTCAGGTTTTCCCTTAGTTGCCTAGTGGTGATCACCCAAAAAGGTATTTTATACTGATGACATTAGTCACAATATTGGAGTGTTCATCATCCCAAGACTACACATTTGATTGCTTCCAGCACTGCTGCATACCCAATGCAGCGTTTATGAATTCTCATTACTCAAGCACCATGGCAAGCAGCTGCAGAAGAAAGCTCTTTTTTCTATGGTCTAAAATATGATGAATTCTAGAAGACATTACAAAGAGAATGAAAATGTGCACTCTACCCACATCAAACCGATCCCAGAGTATCTGGAAAGCGACCAAAACCATTCTCAGCAGAGCATTAGATTTCATACCAGTGCAGCAGATAACATTTGCAGTACATTTAGTTAGGATCAATTCATTCTCTAGGGGGACAGGAATACAATGTACCTGATACAACACGCCTTATTCTGACAAAGTTCTCACAAGGTCAAATGAATACGGGAGGATGGTAAGCTTCTCAAACTGTCAATAGAGTTGACAGAAATTTCCCTGGACCTATAGGAAAGCAGTACATTTATGTCTGCTAAGTGTAGAAATAAAATAAAGATATATTCTTTTCATATTTATTTTGAAGCTCCTGAGCAAAGGAGGCCTTTCTCCATATATAGTTACGTTATTAACTCCATCCATTTCTCAGCTCCCACACTTATAGCTGGGAAAAGGGATCAGTGGGGTGAAGCAGCAACTCAGCACATGCACGCCAAATCCATCCTTTGAGCTGCTACCTACAGAAAAGAGGTGGCCTTATCTGGAAAGTTAGGGATACAATTTTCTTAACACAGAGGCACACTGTGTGAAGACACATTTACTAATCCCAAAAGTGCTTAAGGTCTGCTAATATCAGTTCCAATTAAGCTCTCCCCAAGGAGATGGGGCAGACTGTGTGCTTTTTTAATTATGTGGACAAAAGGGTCCTAGACAGCTCGCAGAAAAACAACAGAACATTCAGAGATGGAGTAAAATTAAGTTACCTTTTCCGCTTCTGTATTGGTAAGAATTTGGGGGTAGACTCTGTTAAGCTGAAGAATAATTTTATCAACCACTTGCTCATTCAGTCGGCTATTGCTTGTAAGAAAATACATGTCGTGTTGCAGCCGGTGACAATACGACTGATCTAGAGACAGAAGAACACAAAGAACAAACCACAGTAAGTACTTAGCAAGCCATTTTTAAATCGTGTACATTTCATTTTTCTAAGAGTGGTTAAATACCTAAAATACACTGAATTAATACCTAAAATCCAGTAAATTACCAGCAGATAATTCTGGAAAGCTGACCTGCAGCGCAGCTGTGTGCTTCAGAGATCCATGCACTCAAAATTACAGGTACCCAAATTCCTGGCAGTCACCTGAGCATCTCTGTCTTCCCAAAGGAAGAAGCTTCTAAACCACTTGATGTCAGGTACTGATGGATACCTCAAATACATTGACAGCAACCATCCAGTCCTAAAGTTAAGTCACTGAAGGCTTTCTACCATTTATAAATAGAAAGTTCGACTGCACAGTTTAAAAATAAGATTTTATTAAAAAAAAAAAAAAAAGATGGAAATGTGTTTCATAAAGTAAGGTTCTCTCTTAGATAGAATGGCAAAAGGTCCATATTATGTGACTGGAACATAGCACAGGGCTGGTCTTTGCCTGCTGCTGAGGACCTGACAACAGCAGGGCTGGTGGTACAGGATGGGAGGCTGGGAAGCTGGGCACAACAGGGTGAAAGATGCACCAGTATCACCCAACCACCAAGAGTCAGTGATGCCTTTTGTCTAACAGGAGAAATCAGCAATTTGCCCTGTGTAAACAGCTCAGAACATTAGGAACAAATCTCTGCTAACATGCCATGAAACTGTTCAGAGAAGGCAAACTTCCCTTCCACATCACCTGGGAGAGGGGAGAACAAGCATTCAAAAAGCAGTAATTTTTTCTTACCATGACAGTACACTCAAATACACATCTCACTAAAACACCTTTTTTTTTTTTTTTTTATTAACCTGGCCATCTGCAAATACATGAATCAAGACTTGCTGTCATTTTGGACACAGTTTCCAATTTGATAGTAATGGATTTTGTAGGAGTTCACCTCTTAGCTGATAGCTTTCCCTACAGCACAGTGTTGTGCCACTATGAAATTAAAGACACAGACATGTTCAGGTAGGATTACTGTGCTCACATTAGATTTAGAAACAGAACCATCTGTTACAATGCCTGAAATAAGCATTAAAACACCGAACCTGCATGAGTGTGCTCCACCAGCTCCACTGGTCACCAACCCTGGAAGCACACACATCACACCTGATCTGCACAAACCCCTCCATTCAAACTGAACAGAGTAAGAATGCAGTGCCTTCCCCATACTTAAAGCACACACATGGGTTTATGGTATTTTATGGCATTTTATGGCATTTTATGGTATTTTTTAATGGTATTTTGGCTACCAGAATAGACCATCATCAGCTCTCTGTGCCCTGTGATTTAGAGAAGATAAACAAAAGAATGAAGGGAAAAAAAGCCAGAAAACAAACATGTGATGCACTGCACCTTTGCAAAGCCCTTGTCCTTCCCATATCATGTTTGTTAATTTTGTTACATCCCCCTTTTTTTCTGCACGTTTGTAGCCCTAACTGCACTTACAGGAAAGGGTTCACAAGAATCTGGCATCATGATCACTGTGAAGTCACAACTTCTCTAGAATCAAAGTTGCTCCCACTCAAATAAAGGCACGCGGCCGTTGATACTGCACAGAGCTGCAATTCCACAAGCACAAAAGTACTTCAGTTCCATTCTCTCTTTGCATACAGACACGTCTCATTTCCATGTGTTTCTAATTCCTAGCCTTTCTGCTGCTGGCTCTCAAGGCAGCCTCACAGCAAGCTGTTAGAAACACACTGCGCTATTTGCTCTGCAGTTCCCTTTTGCTGCAACAAGTTCAACACTATCTGACTCAGGGCTGAGATCAAACATCTCTTCAAACCCACTCATCTGGATGCACTACAGGCTGAGGTGGGGACCAGGAGACACTGATAGGGCATCAGGCTCTGTCAAGTTGTCTGCCCATGCCAATACATTGTGGGGAGTGAGGTGCATCTCGCTCGCTACCTCCTTCCTCCTCTGCATCACTTGCATGATCCACAGCGACACTGGATGTCATAAACAACTCTGTTCTTTCTGCAGCCTTACAAAAAGCACGTGTTAAATTGAGGTCTAACAAGCTAGAGAAGAAATTTAACTTCAAAAAACACCTTGACATTCAATCAACAAACCACAGCAAGTACCAAAAGAACAACAAGGTTCCGACAGATTGAATGTATCTCAGTTTGTAAAATAACAGCAGCCCTGATGTATCATCTCTGCTTCCCACACACTCCATCGCTGCCTCATCATTGCTGATTCCATGCAGGCAGCACGTGGAAGTCTATCAGCAGCAGCCACAGCAGTGAAGCTAATTGTGACCAGCTGGAGATCATATTTGAGCTGACACTCTTTTCTGAGCAGTCAGGAACGCGGTGTGTCCTCGTGGCACATCTGTACAGATTCACTGAATCATCGCTGGTCTTATCAAGGGCTTTTTGCTGCCATCTGAAACCCGCACGCTCACACACTGCAGATTGCATTACACTGCATAAGCCTCACTCAGATTTTCTGGGTGTCTCCATTTTCCTCTGATCTAAGCCAAACACATAAGCAAAGAGTGAGTCAATGCCCCCTGCAGACAGTGCTACCTGTGCCATCTGAGGACATGCCTCAGGCCTGGCTCCAGCATCTGTGTGATGCGCCCCAGCCTCATGGGATGCTCCATTCTCTGCATCCTGCAAAGACACTTCACACACCTGTACCACTGCCTCCCCACGTTACTTCACTCTGGGAGGAGGGACTGGGCACAAGGTTTAAAACATTCTAGTGAGATATCATCATGCTCAGCACCGCCAGAGCAAAAACAAAGCCCAGCTCCTCCCCTGCCTCTTCTGAAGCCCGCCAGCTCTCCTCTAATTGGAGAAGTCTTTGCTCAAACAACAGAGCAATGGCTGTGTTCAAGTTTCTGGTACATACACCAGGGAAGAGAGAACACACCACAGAACCACCAACCAGTGCACCAGCTGCTAAATTACAAAATAATAATAATTACATTAAAAAAAAAACAAAACCAAACACAACACAAATCGTCACTGATGCTAATGGCTGAGATGCAGCACCCTGCCCAGGGGTGATAAGGATATCTAGGAAACACACACATGCATTTCAGACTCCCACGTGCTGCTCCACAGCCTTGCTTGCCCCAGCCAGCTCCTGTCCCCGCCAGTGCCACCAGCAGCACAGTGTCCCGAAGAGATGACAGCTACTGAAAGGAAAATTCAAAACCTTCATGCTATGACAACTTTGTTTCTAAGCCGTAGCCATACCAGCATTGCAAGGATCATCAGCCCTTCAGCCAGCACTTGCCTGAGCAGCAGAACTGTGAGACTGGGGTCTCAGCCACAGCACATGGCACTGTCAGCTGTCTGAGGCCACATCCTGCAGCTCCACAGCCAGCTGCACAGCCCACAAGAGGAGCAGGCACCAGTGGGGGGCAGCCAGCCCGCAGCACGGGTTGGAACTGGATGGGCTTTAAGGTCCCTGCAAAGCCAAGGCATTCTATGACACGCCTCTGCTCCTCCTTCCAAGGGAGGCTTTCTGGCTTACCAGCTTTCTGTCAAGAGACATCAGATGAATGCTGGGGACACCACTAGCATGACTATCAGGTTACAGTGGCAGTCAAGAACTGCTTGGTAGCTTTGTTTTTGCTTATTCTTTCCTTAGAAGACTCCAAATAGCTCGCTGTATAAGGAACAACAAACAGGACAGAGCACACTGGATTTTTGTCTTTGTGTACACTCTTCCACATCCTACTTTTGCTGCCCTTTCAGATAAAAAAAAAAATGCATATTCCTATGGACACATCACCCATAAACTGCACCCTTAAACCTACACCTAGCATGGTTTAAACAAAAAACAAGCAGAATTTCAAACTTGTAGGCCTGCGCTCAGCCCTTCCATGCTCGATCGCTGCAGTGAACTGTGCTCCCTGCTCCAATCCCAGCCTGGGCCCAGGGGACCTGAAAGAAGCCAGAAGCTGTGCAGGTGGGCATCCCCAGTGAACCACCATATTGATATTTGCATAAGGACTTGTGATACTGCCTCTTACCACTGTATCTTTATTATGGTGTTGATCGCTGGTTATTCTCCCTTAGTAGCCTGCCTCCTTCAAGTTACCAAACAGACAGATGAGATAAAGCAGATAAAATTTCAACACAACAAACAAAACCCCAATAGATCTTCTTGTTCATCATGCACACCATTCATAAACATCAGTTCTAGAAACTCCAGCAGCATCTGCTGGGCAATGCAAGGTCAGGTTGCAACTTCCTGCAGAAATACCCGATGATTTTCAAAAATGTCACAAAGCTGAGCTGATAATTAAAACCTTAAGGCATGTGACCAACAAAGTGCACATGTCTCTGCAGACTCCCTGCTAAAGCATCTCAGCAAAATTTTAGCTTTCACACTCATCTAGTTGTTGGCTTTCCCCCTTCAATAGCCCAACAAAGGGGCGTGGAGGACTTAAGAGAGGAAATCTGACTGCAGGGAAGTTGCCTGAAATGATCAAACTTCACTGTTAACCAAACCCCTTCCCCAAGAGGAGCGATGGCTCTGCTCCCCAGGCCTGGAAGTACAGAGAGGTGGGAGGCACCAGGCCCCCTCCAGGCCAACTGCTGCTAACTGTGAGTTCGTTGCCAGACAGCGAGAGTCCTTGATAGCAACCTCGGTAACTCAGCATTATCTGACTGTCTTCTAAAAACAGAAAAAAGCAAAGCATTAAATGACTCTTGAGAGTTGAACGTGGTGCTTCCTTATACACTTTCCTCTACTCCATGTAAGAGGTAACCAGTGGGCCTTTGGTAAGCAGAAGCACGGCGCCTTGCAGCTGCTTGATCCTAATGAGCAGGAGACTGCGACCCGGTGTCAGTGGCACACTCCCCTCAATCCCGTGTGCCAGCTGAGCTGTGGGATCTGGCACACAGCTGCTGCCTCGAGGTGCGTTCTTCTGCCCACGTCCATTACAAATTCCCCACTTGCAGTGGAAAAATGCATACGCTTAAGTTCAAACCCACGCTTATTTCCATTCAGCAACCACGAGCCTCAGCACAAGCTCACACGTCCCGTGGAGCCCTCGCGTCCCAGCACCAGGCTCACACACAGCCCGGCATCGCCGCGCACTTGCCAAGGGCTTGAGGTTTACGCAGCACCGCCGCTTCCCGAATGCCACCCTCAGCCCGGTGACTCACGGGCTGTGACTCACAGACGAAAGCCAGCTCCGAAGCTGCAGCAGCTGCAGGGGTGGCCCCAGCGCGGGGATCCCGAGTTTACAAAAGACGGCGTTGAGAAACGCGCGATGGCACAGGTGAGCGGCTGCACGCCAACGGAGCGCCCCGTGCGCTGAGCCCGGACACGCAACGACGGGGCTTCCGAGAAAAAAAATACAAATAAACTTCCGAAAAACACACGAGACCGCCAGCAGAACACCCGGCACCGCCGCGCCGGGAGGCGGCTATCGGGACGCGACCGGCGTCCCCGAAGCGATGCTCCCGCAGACCCCATAGCCCCGCACTCACCGAGCATAGCGGCCCAGCCCGGGGCTGCGGCCCTTCCTGCCGCCGAGCGCTCCGGGGCCGCCCTGGGGCCGGGCAGCACCGCCCCGTCCCGCCCCGTCCCGCGCCACCGCCCCCGTGCGGCCGCCGCTGGGGCCGTGCTGGAGCCGTGCTGGGGCTGGGGGCTCAGTGCTGCGAAAAACACTTCGAGCCGGCGTTAAGCGCCTCGTGAGAGCCGAGAGCAGGAATTCACACTCCCAGCTGTGAGGTTTGTAACGATTAAATGCAGAATTAGCACGGCCACGATTTGCTTTTTCCACAGATAGTTTAACTGTTCAAATCCCGGATATAACTTCTTCACGAGGAAGCACAGGAACTCTGCGTGTTTTAAAGCTCTCATTAGCACAACATTCCATAAACATTTAATTACCCGTTGACTCATGGAGGCAATGTGCCATTCCTGGCTACAAACCCTGCAGAGAAGCAAGGCTGAACCTTGGCTTTGCAAACTACGATAAGGAGATACATTATTTATTACTGCAAGCTTATTTTCTTTTACTGAAAAATCTGATATTTTTGTAACGTATGGGGAAATCCTGCATCCTCATATGGCAAAGGTACAGAATGAGCTGTGAGCAGCTCCCAGCACCGCAGCATAGCCTGGGACAGCTCTGATGAAGGCAGCACATCCCAAGCTCTACAGCACCCCCAGGCATCACCCATCACTGCCTGCCCTTCAGCCTGAGGCTATCCCCTCCGTGTTGTATGGGAGCTGCCTGCAGCACAGGGTTCCTGCAGCCCATCTTGCCACGAGTACCTCCACTAACAAACAAACCCCACGATATGCATCCTACAACTCCTTCCTAAAAGGGAAGCAGCCTCCTTACCTTTAGAAAGATTAAGAATATAGAATAAAAAACTCATTGAAGTATTTTTAATATTGCAAAATACGGCGATGTTTATGGTGCCTGTTCTTGAGAAAATGGAAAGGGTTCAAGCATCCAGAGTTAGTGGCATTTACCTTCAGGAAGTCAGATTTTCTGAGCAGCATGAAAGCAGATTTTTGACTTACCACTATTATTACAGCACATAGCACAACCTTGACCTTGTTGTGGCAACAGAAAGAGGCATTGTCACTTTATGTCTCCTTTCACCACACTCTTAAGGCTATTTCACCTCTCTACTGATATACTGCAGCAGTGGGAAAGCACACACGGTGACACATGGCCGTGTCACACAGCCACTCATAGCACTCCCCTGGCACCTCCACCAGCACCTCAAGGGCAGAAATGGAAACACCCAGCGTGGCACAGAGCAAAGCCTCCCCCATGAGTACTGAGCATGGGGTGAAGCCGAGCTGCCAGGAGAGCTGCAGCATGCACTGACTGGAGGTATTTTTGTCCCGTCAGCTCTGATGATGATATGGGAACCGGTGGTTAAATATAGCTCCTGCTCACACCCATGGCATGTATGCCTCTGAGCCTCCCCTGCACAGTGTGGCTTGGGCTCAAGGTGCCAGGAGAAACGTGGCCATGCCCCACTCACACAGCACTGCGCTGGGGTCCTGGTAGCACTGCCCACTGCATCCCCTCCTGAGGTCATCGTACCGTGGGATAGTGTTGGTCAGAGGGGACCTTAAAGGCCACCATCCAGCTCCAAGCCAAGGACAGTGCCCGTGGCACTCAGCACAGGGCTGCGCCCCGTCCTCAGGACCAGCAGCAGCGATGGGCTGGTACAGTCAGCTCCACAAACCCCTGTGCTCTGGGCGCAGATCCCGCGTGTTCCCGGCGCACCTGAAGGCAGCAACTGCTTTCAAAGCACAGGGACTGCTGGAGCTCGGAGCTGGAGCTCGGCTCCTTGGCAGCCCACCCCGAGCTGCTCCAGCGCGGAGGGCAGCCGTGCATTTCCTGTCGGCTGATCCAAAGCCGCGGCTGTTTCCTCCTGCTTCTTCCCAATCTGTTTATTTATGGAGTTATTTTATTTGCTAAATGTTATACCCTTGCCGAGGCAGCCCCAGCACGCAGTGTTTTCTTATTTATCTGTTAATTGTTACATTGCAATCCGACTTGTTATTTTCCCACGACCGAACGGGAATGGATCCCTGGCAGTACAAACTCTCGTGCTTAAGGAAACGCGAAGAGACGCGCTTTACAAGCTTCAACTGCACGCTGTGCTCCCTCCGCCAAGCCTGAGTGCCCGGCACGCAGGCAGCCCCGAGCAGAAGCCCCAGAACCCCCGGCTTCACCCCGCAGCCCCCGAGCAGAAGCCCCGCAGCCCCGGGTCGGGCCGGCACGCCGGTCGGCACTCACGGCTCCGGTAGAGCATGGCCCATGGGCGGCGCGGAACGGATCTCTCCTTGCGCCGAGGTCAGGGCGGCCTCGAAGCGAAAGGAAAAGCCGGGGGGGGGAGCTGCAGAGTCGAGACGAGACGAGCCGCCCCCCCCCCCCCCCCGCCGCCTGCGGGCTGCTTGGGTTGGGCGCTTTTTTTTCTCTCTTCCTTTTTGGCTCCGCCGCAAGTCTCAGCTCTTTGCTCCCTGCCCAGCCCGGCTACTGGCTGCAGGAGGCTTGTTACACAGCCTACGAAGATGCTCCGTTGCTTGTACACAGGATAACAGTCGATCACACAGTGGTCTTCAAAACCACACAACTCAATATCTGATCCCTTTTAAGACAGAAATCAAATTATATATGAGAAAAATGCTCAGCCCATTATGTTCTCTTTTTTTTTCTTTTCTTAAAGCACTGAATTGAACAGGTTGCCTGAAGAGGTGGAGGTGCCTCATCCCTGCAGACACCCAAGGTCAGGCTGCTTGTGCTCTGAGCACCTGATGGAGCTGCAGGTGTCCCTGTTCAGTGCAGGGGAGTGGGACCAGATGGCCTTCAAAGGTGCTTTCCAACTCAAATGATTCTGTGATGACTCTATGAATTCTCTGAAGGCAGGAAGCAAATAAGGCCATTTGGGTATCCTCCCCTTAAAACAGGTGAATAAATAAACTGAGGCTGAGAGAGCTGCTAAAGTGAGATAGAGCTGAGTGCTGAGCACAGAGCACAGCCCCTGCCCGCACTGTGCTCACACTGCAGTTACCACCCTGCTGAGCTCCACCTGACTCGGGGCCAGGGAGGACAGAAGGATGCCGTGCAGTCACGGGTTTGGGAGCGATGGGCGCAGCCTCCAGCTGCAGGCACCTCCTGTGAGGACACCAGCATGCACGGCCATGGGGCTGTGACCTTGAGCACACAGCCTAAGCGCAGACGTGCTGAAGTGCCAGGGACCCAGGAACAAGCTGCTCAGCTCTGCCTTATGTCAGATGAACTTTCATTCCCTGCTTGCTGCTCTGCCAGAAGAGTTTCACGTTTCCCCCACTGCAGCGCATTCTAGCACTGGCTAGCACAAGAGGAGACTGCTTCTGAAACATCCTGCCTTGGAGAGGGCTGGGAACTGCAGCATTCCCATCAGCTGATGCATTCTGGTTGTGGCCCTTAGCCATGGATAGTGGTGGGGTGACTGCACGAGAGCCTTTCAACACACTCCGTAAAGCAGCCTTCTTTGTAACAGTTCTTAAAATATAAGTAAGAAAGGTCACCTCTCCCTGTTACTGAAGGAGGGAGTGGCCCAGGTTCCTTGTATCACACAGAGATGTGCAGAGGAATCTCAGAAGCTACTGGCCTGGCATGCTGCTGAGCTTTATGCTTGGTCCTTTTAAGCAGAGGATTCAATTAAAGTTTAAAAGTTGTGCTGTGTGACATTGTAGATATAAAAAACAAAAAGTTGAGCAAACAATTTCTATCTGACACTAAGGTTTAGCAGATTCACTAGTTCCTGTGCTTCCAAAGCCTCACTGATGACCAGGATGTTTGTGCCTCTTGCCCGCTCCAACCCAACCCCAAGCTGTCCCAGCCCCCAGGCTGACCCCCAACAGTGGGTACCCAGCTGGATGCTGGCATTTCCAGTACTGTCGTGGAAAGCCCAACAAAACAACATTCACTCTGCGGCAGCACTCTGGTGTCCATCCATGCTTCCTTGATCCACAGCTCCAAATGTATCCTTTGCCTTTTCCCAGCCACAGCAGACAGCTCAGGGCCATACGGGCACTGCCAGGCAGTCTAGCAGCAGGAGCCAGGCTTCCTCCCAGCCAAGTCAGCATCATCAAGGAAACCAAAGGGACTTGTGATTGTTTCTGTTGTTGTATACCTCCAGTCTGAAACTCCTCCCATCAAACACGAGAGTGGGACACCTACATATTTTCATTCGGAAGCTCCGATTTTCACATCAAACTTACATTGCACGTTAAGAAAACAAGCAGTGAGAGCTGTGCCAGGGCTCACAAAACCCACAGTGCTGTGCTGTGCTGTGATGAGGGCTCCCCATCTCTGTGACCCCAGGAAGGGCTCTGCCAAGGGTGGGGTGCAGGGCTCCATCCAGCACTGCATAGACACTGAGCCTTCCCAGCATGGCAAACAGATTCTCTTTCATTTGTTCCAAAGAGTGGATTTTCATTTAAAAGGATGTCAGGATCAGAAGCTTTCCTACAGCAAACAGCGTGTCAGCTGGCTTAAAAACCAGTCCCTCATCAGTACTTAGCTTAAGATCTTCAAAACTATCTCTTAGTTTTCTGCAAGCAGCCAAAGCTGAGCAGGAGAGCAGTGCAGCAGTCCCAGCAGAGCTGTCTGCTCCAGGAGAGCAGCCCTAAAGCCCAGGGCAGGGAAAGAAAATGAGCAGTACTCTGACAAACACAGCTGGCAGGTTTTTCATCTGCAAGGAATTATCCTATCATCAAGGAATTATCCTATCATCCTGCAATGTGCAACGATTCATTTCTGAGCACCTCTGCAGGGAGGGGGCTGCACTGTGCTTGTGTGTGCAGTTCGGGGTGTTTCAGTTGTTCCATAAAATGCACATGGAAATGCACTTCCTTTGGAGCAGAAATGGGAACCTGAACCTGAGATCACTGGCTGCCAAGCATTTAAGGGTTAATAAGCATGTGTACTTAAGCCTATATTATAGGTTCTCAGCTGCTTTCATCTCCCTGCACAGCGCTCCTTTTCCTCCTGACAATAAATAATGTTTATGTGAGCAATAAAACCAACTCCAGGGGGTGCAGCTGTCATAAACTGAGCACAGACCCAGAGGGAACGGAGCCACAAATCTCATGAAAGACAGCATGGGTGTTGTTTCCTTATCCTGTTGTAACTGTGCTGCCTCTTGGATTAGACACCTGAATAAATGCCAGTGACTGGTGCTCTGCGCGGAGGCACTGAATGCACCCACTCGTACTGCTGCTTCCTGTGGCCTTCTGTGCCAACTGATACTTCAAGCATACATCCTGTGCTCTTTGTGGCTATCAGAAGCACCTTTTCCCTGGCACTTCTCGTGCTTCTCAGCTCTCCCCTTATTAAAGCCCTGTTGCGCCTTCCCCAGCCTTCCTCGTCCTTCACAATTTCCTGAAGCTGCAGCAATGATGGTTCAAATTCTGCTTTGCTAACTCATTACTACTTTTACTTCCATCATGGAATCAGATTTACCCAAACACCTGCTGTCTTCTTGCTTTACTCTAGTCTGCAATGTCACTGCTGGGTGAAAACTCACTGGGTAAAGCAGCAGCAGCTCCTCAGGGCTCCTGGACCAGCTGGGGGTCTGCGACTGTGCCCTGCTGCACCACTCCATCCATGGCCTCTAAACACAGAGCAGTGCAATTAAGCAGTAAGGCCTCCCTTTTGCAGAACAAGAGGGGCTTTTAATTAAAAAACATCTTACTGTCATTCTATCATACCGCTGTGTAAAAATATGGGGGATTTTTCTTCCTGATATATTTACAATAAACACGGGTTAAGGAAGGCATAATGAATGTGTAATTATCACCAGTGAATTTCTATGAGGCAGAGACACAAACCGGCTCCCATTCCTCTCTGGAGGTACACAAAGCCATGGTGCTCTGCCACGGCCACAACACACAGCGCACTGCAGAGAATGGCTGCTGACGGCCAGCCTCAACATTCCTTATTTTATTTATATCAGACCTCAAAGTATTCCTGTTAAATAACCACTTTGTAATATATAAAACTTCCAGATTCAAATGAATAGTTAACTTCCTGCGTTATCTTTAAGGCACATTATTTTGATCCACTTCTTTTTGGTCCAGAGAAGCAAGTGCACTTCAGCCAGCAGCTAGCCAGGTATCTGACACCTGGGTTTGTTGTATCTGTCTGTGTGTCCATAGACCTCAACCACATGGACTGAATTCACTGTGTGCAGAGCAGTGCTGTGTCCCGGCACTGTGGGTCTCTCAGGTGTGCTGCTGCTGCTGCTGAGCTTGGGCAGCCGCTCACTGGCTTTGCAGCGCCCCGAAGCTGCCGTGTCCCGAGTCCACTCCTCCTGGAATCTGTAGGCATGAAGGGAAAAGTTACTTCAGTTTTGCTTGCTCTAATGAGAATACAGAACCTTCCAATCTGTTTTATTTGCATATCGGGCACTTTGCAAACTGCTTGTGCTGTAACACAGGGACTCGCCTCTTCCAGCATTAAAAGCAGTAGGTGGCAATGGTGCAAATAATTGAGTTTGTAAAAGCTGGTGCAGTCCTTGGAAAGATCTGTGGAGTTGGAGCAGATGTCATCTTTTTATTTTCAATAAAATGAGCTTCCAGGTTCAATTTAATGCAGTGCTAACTACAGAATACTACTAAGAGCACTTGAGTGCTGTGAGTGGTGCAGAGGAAAGCCCTCGCTTGGTTAGAGGGGAGTGCAGCAGTCTGTGCACTTGCATCCTGGACAGCCTGGCCTTATCCTGTGCACATCCTATGCAGCCTCTGTGTGCTGCTTGCATTGGCTGCAGGAAACCAGCAGGAGCGCTCGCGGGAAGCATGCTTCTTACAGGAATGCACAGAATCACAGGGAAAGGGCAGAAAATAAAAGCACTGTTACAAGTAACTGCTCTGATACAGACACTGCAGATACATCTGTCTTGTAGAGGACATTAAATCTCCTCCTTCACTGGAAAGCTGTTACGAAACTACTTGGGGCGTGAACTACAGCCAGGTAGTGTAAAGCATCTGAAACCACCTCTGCTTTCAATCCGGGATGGCACTGATCAGCACAGAACAGAACGCAAGGAGGTGCCCAGGTTAGCAGGGAAAATATGACCCTTTTGGCCCCCTAATGCTAGTTTTCAACTGGGCTACTCCAAACCATCTAGTCAGAAGGTTAGAATCCCTGTGTTCCTAGCTGGAAACATGAGAGCATCCAGGAGTGTCATATGCTGAATATCCCACCTAGATGCAAATACTTGACATTTGAGAAATAAGTGCAAATTGCTGACACAAAGGAGCAAGGCTTTGGTTGGTTGGTTCTGCTTTCTCTTTCACTGCATTTTTATTTCTCTTACATTAAGTAAACAGGAAACGTGCCCTGTAACTCCTGCCACT